TTTTAATTTTAAGTTTGTTTAAAACATCATTTTATCCAGGAATAATGTCCGTACTGGTTTGTATTGAACTATAGGAATTATTCAGGGCTGATTATTCAAAATAAAAGAATCAGAATCTGGTTTATTGTGGAGGTTAACAAATACAAAGGATGAGAAAAGATGAAAAAAAAAAGCTCTAAAAAAAGTTAATTGTCTTATTCATCATACAGATTTTAAAAACAAGGCAAGTCATCAAAAAGCTGGGTAACAACCCACACTATAACACCTCCTGCTCAGGTGCTCCTTAGTGTCTGGTATGTATCTAAGTAGCTGACTGTGCTGAGGACGACGCCCTGGGGAAGGTGGTTTGGGCCGCTACGCGTGGGTTGTTACCCGGCTTTTTGATGACTTGCCTTTTTTTTTCTTTTTTTTTAATCTCTATGATGAATAAGCTTTATACTTTTTTCAGAGCAGTGCCTTGGCTTTTTTTCATCTTTTTGAATTTTCTGTTTCCCACCAAAGAACACCTTCACCATACTTAGTTTAATCCTGCGAGCACTTTTTTTTTCTAACAATGGATTTGACTTGGTGATTGATACTAAAGCAATAAACACAGAAGAAGGAGAAAAAATTAGATGGCAGTTAAACAGCAGAACTACTCCCCACAAGGAACTGAAGAAGAGTAAGATCAAAAAATATACAACAAGTGCAAAACCAACAAGGGATCTACTGATTAGGTTCAAGAAATCCTTCAATCATTTCAGCTTAAAATCTAGAAAATTAGTTTTTTAAAGGCATCTCTACCTAGAAATAAAAATTATGTAATTGAGTCATCAGCTCACAGCGTCGTGTGTTTCTGATTCCAGCTGCGTCGCTCTGAAGAAGACGAGGAGAAGGAGGAAGACATCGAGGTCCCGAAGGCCATGGGGGACATCTTTGAGTCTTTGGCTGGAGCCATCTACATGGACAGCAGGATGTCCCTGGAGACGGTGTGGCAGGTGTATTATCCAATGATGAGGCCACTCATAGGTGAGGAAAAGTCTGAGCGTACTTCTTTATTCATCATTGTTGAGCAGGTCATGAAGAGGTGTGAGCGGTTTCTACCATTCAGGATTACAATCAGTCATTTTGACATATTCAAGAATTGTAGGTCTAAAGATATTCATGATGCCACTTTAGAGGTCACATATTCTCCTCCTTTTCAACACGTTTAAATAAGTCTAAGAGCTCCAGAAAACATTTCTGTAAAGTTTAAGTCAAGGTTGTAAAGGCGACCCAGGGGTCGACCCAGTTCTCACTGGAGGGGTTATATATCTTGGAGCTGGAAAACATTGCGGGGAAGGCACGTTGCTTAGCCTGCTGCCACTGTGACCCAGCCCTGTATGAGTGGAAGAGGGATGGATTTATTGTTCTAAATCCACTCTGATCCTGTATTTGATTATGCCTATAAACCCCTCTATTTCAGCCCTGCTCAGAACAGGCTGTTTCCGTGTCTGTACCTTTAAATATGTAAATGAGCTGTGTCTGGCCACGCCCCCTCTCTGGAAGTGGCTCGGGCTTTCTCCTTCCATGCCCTGTTGTTTACGGTGAGAAGGCAGACTCAGAGGCAGAACAAACACCTAGCTGTGGGAGTGTCACCCACCTGGGGGAGGGGCTACTGCCCTTTGTGATGTCATGAAAGGAAAATCTCCAAACGGCCTGTTTGAGCACACATTTTCTGAAAAGTAGAGCAGGTGAAAGATGGAGAGGATGGACTTTTCTCATCATTGGGGGGTTTGGAGACGGACTAGGGACACATGTTAGTGTTAGAGAAACATGGTGATGTTTATTTAGTATAATATGTGACCTTTTAAAACCTTCTTTTCTTTGACCTCCTGCAGAGAAATTCTCTGCCAATGTGCCACGCTCTCCTGTGAGGGAGCTGCTGGAGATGGAACCAGAAACTGCCAAGTTCAGGTACAACATCATGACTTCTCATTACCTAGACAGACGTCTATCTCCAAACTTAGTCACTATTAATCTTAGCGATGCAACAATAACAGGCCAGAACAATCAAACCAGACTTAACTGATAACTCTGTGTTGAGGCTCTAATTCCTGTCATGAATTTCATAGCTGTATTTGGGCTGCTGATGGCAGCTTAAAGAAGCTCACTGGTTGTAACTGTCTGAATGATGAAATCCTGTTTCTGAGTCTGATCCCCTGTTCTGTGTGTGCAGCCCCGCAGAGAGGACGTACGACGGGAAGGTCCGGGTGACGGTGGAGGTCGTCGGTAAGGGCAAGTTCAAAGGAGTGGGCCGCAGCTACCGGATCGCCAAGTCAGCGGCGGCGCGTCGAGCTCTGCGCAGCCTCAAAGCCAATCAACCTCAGGTCCAAAACAACTGAGCTCAGCATAAGCACCTAAGCTATCGATGCTAAATGAGAGAAAGCAACACCGTCTTCCCGGACACACGGCGCAACGCTCGCCCTGCCCTGCATCCTCAGCCGGGTGGGGGGAGGGGGAGGGGGGCCTGTGGAGACGCAGCAGGAGAAGCAGACTGATCTCACAACAGATTTCACATCAGATCTCGTACCTTTTTTCGTTTTCTTTTTTTATCCCCCTTTTTTTTGCGCAAACACAATCTTTACTTTTCCCTCTCTGCTTTGTGTAATCACATGAGTGCTTTATTAACGTTTAGCAAAGTGTCTAAAAACAAAAAAAAAAAAAAAAAAAAAAGGGTCAGGTCGCAATGTCTACTCCTCACTGTTACGTTTTTTTTTTTTTTTTTTTGTACCTGCGTGTCAATGAGACGAGGCTTTTGCTTATTGTGTAGTTTTTGGTTGTACATAGTTCAATCAAAGGTGTAAATCAAAGTATGTAGGAAGTTTAAAAAAAAAAAAAACACAAAAAAACGCTAAACTCCTCAGCCTGTGCACTAGTGCCAGTCGGTTTTACAGCGGATTTGAAAACGCTAACGGCAGACGTGGCTAACAGATACCACTGGAGCAAAAAAAAAAGAAAGAAAAGAAACCCCTGGTGGCACCTCTGTCTGAAATCTGAAATCTGTCTTGAAATGGTATTCTTAATCATTTTTGCACTAATTCCATTAGGGTCTGTTACTTTGAGAATTGTGTGGTCACATTGACACCAAAATCATTTACGTAGCAAAGAATATAAATATATATATAAAAAATCAAATACATGAACGATATCTTCGGCCTCTCGCTAAGGCCCGCCCCTCATATCCTGCAGAGACGAGAGGAATTTCAACATTCCCAGTTACTGTAATTTAAAACTCGTTTTTAAAAAAAAACCTGCACTCGAGGTCGCATGTTCCTGTAGCTTCTGTGTAAACCACGACAACTGGACGGCTTCTTTAAATGTTTCAACCTATGGATATATACTCTGGAGAGTGTGAGAGCAAGAGGACACGACGTGTGTGGCATTATCTGGATGATTTGGTTCAACATGTTTTGATACACGGCGGGGATTGGAAGTCGATTCTCGCACGCTCAAACGTTCTTTCAGCCGAGCGAATCATCCAGTTTTGATATAAAACGAGAGGAAGACATATCACACCACACGTTGGATATATGCTGCAGACTTTTCTACAAAATTGGACACACAGAATCTTTTTTGAGTACATCGTCTTTGTGAAAAAAAGGCCGACTCACGTTTCCTCACATCCCCAACCTACCAAAGCTAGAGCAGATGTGACACTATGAGGTTGAAGTCGAGTCCGATACGGATACCAGCCTTTTCTTTTTTTTTTATGGTTTCTGTTCCGACAAATTTTGCTTCTCGCTAAATGTATTTTATTTTTTGTTCTCATCATCGTCATCATTAAGCCCTTTGTTCACGTGAATACCTCAGTTAATTGCATGCATTTTCGTTTTCTTTTTTTTTTTGTTTGGTGCTATGTTTTTTTGTATTAAGCTTGAATTTCTCGTCTTTTTTTGCACTGTAACTATAATACCTCTTTTTATTTGACCTTTTTTTTTTTTTTTTTTAAATCTGTTTGATTTGGTTGTCCCGTTCGTTCGTCAAGCTGCGTCGTCTCCCTCCCCCACCTCCCCCCCTCATGCTTGAGGTTCACACTTTTTTTGGGGGGGAAGGAGGGGCAGGAAGTCTATTCTCTGCACAGAGGCATAACTTCTTTTTCTTTTTTGTCTCCTCATCATTAGCTATGAGTGTCATCAGTGGAGATACTTTTTTAGACATCCGGGTTAAAACCAACAGGACTGAGTAATCAGAAGGGTATTTGCTCGCAGACGTGGTCGGGTTGTACTCATCATTTCATCAGCGGTCGTTTCATAAAACTATGGACATATTTCAAGGGTTGTTTTAGGATTTCACTAAACCTGGGTCCTTTATTCTTTAATATTGGCAGGCAAAAGACAGAGAGGATGGACTTTTCTCATCATTGGGGGGTTTGTAGACGGACTAGAGACACATGGTGAAGTGTATTTTGCATCATATGTGAACTTTAACTCTGAAGAAAAACAGCAACATCTAATTCAGTGATTCTCAACTGGTCCAACTCCTCCAGGAAAAATTGCGACCCAAATTTTGTATGTTTTTGACCAATCAGATTTATTTACTGAAAACCTGTGCAGATTGCACATATTTATTTTTGCTCTCTGCTGGAATTGTTCTGATTTGAATTACCTGCCAACCGCTAAACCAGCTATCCGATTTCTAATGTGTTGCCATATTTTTTAAAACTGGTTCCTACCGATAACTAGCAAGAATAAAAACTGAGGAAAGTCTTTGTTTTCTTCACATGAAAATCAATGAGAAGTCAGTCTTCATGTAGTCCATCAGTCGTCCGTGTTTGACTGTAAAACAGAGTGCAATCTGTCATCACGTCTCGAGCATGTGGATCCTTCAATCTGAGCTGTTTAGATTTCTCTGTTAGAGTCACACACCTCCCGACACCTCAGTCTGTAGTACACACACACACACAGCCATGACACACTAATTATCTGTAAGTTCCCAGGAAGGGGGAGGGGGGGGGTTACTAACAACGAATGTGAATCACTCATACAGTACCACCCTCAAATAATCTGATCAGGCATAAATACACAACAACCTTTTCTTTTGATCTCCGAGGGAGGTGTGTGTGTGTACGGAAGGGACGGAGGACAGAAGGAGGGTCCTGTGTTTTTCAGAGCGGACTTTGTTGTTTCTCGACCCGATGGATTTTAATTTAATTTTTCTTTCTTTTTTTGTACATGTAGCACAATTGAGCATTGCACTTGGGCGCCATACTTTACCTCATGTCAGAGTGTGAAAGGGAGTGAACGATGGAGGAAACAAAGACGAGTGTATATACGATGTTAAAGAGGACTCAACTTGTGGTTCAGGCTTTGCTGCTGCCGCCTCCATGCTGGTATTCAAACAATAAAGGAAGAGTGAAGGGCTGTGGGAGGAGACACGACACGGGCCTGTAAGTGATCTGTACAAATATCTGGACGTCTTGTTCTGTGGCGTCCTGCCTCAAACACGTCCATCGACTCTCTGCCTGACTACTTTAGAGTCACTGATGCTTCATCCTACCGAGTCGCTCCTTTTGTCCAGAGCTGTGTCAGTCTGAAGTCAAACCTCCCAGCGCGCTTAGCCAGAGCTTAAAGGAAACATCCACTCAAACATGTTTCTGTACTGTTGGAAAAACAAAGCAGTCCGTACAACTGTCTGTCACCTTTCACCCCCGCGATTTAAACGACCTGTAAGAATTGAGAAATGAGCATTTTAGACGTCGTGTTCGAAGGGGGAAGGAAGAAATCCCAATAAGAAACGAAATAGGAAAAAATGCTAAACCATAAAAGTCTATCTTTTCCCGCCTTTTAGCAGCCGGGTGTCGGAGTTTTGTTTGAATCATCTGAACAAATTAACTGAATCAGCAATTCGCCGCTCACTGAAAGCTACTTTTCTGTAATTTTATTCAGTGTGCTGCAGGTTTTCTTTCTATGTTCCTGCAGAGTAGCACCTGAGAACGTAGGTTGGCCGTGCCTGGACCACCCGCTTGGTCTTTTAGATGAACTACCATTTCTTTAGACCGCCTCAGCTGCATCTCTGTTGTCCACTGTGAGGTCAAGAAGGGTTTAAGAAAAGTTGGGAAATTGGCTTCAACTGCTGCCAATCTAATTCTAATCTCCTAGTCTTTGTATCTCTATCTCTAGCTCTAGTCTTAAAATATCTTTTGGTTAAAATGACATGAACAGTTTTAGAATTGCTCCTTAAAAAACAACAACCGTGGTAGTAGTGGGGAAAAGAAACACCAGCAGCAGCAGACAGTCGTTGCTGATTGTTAGCATGTTTTCCAGCAGTGCGGGTGTCTGAATGTGGATCTTTTCCTTTGAGCTCCGGTGTAAAGTCATGGTCAGTGTGAACAGAGGGTTGTATTTCCTCTGTGAAACGATGACTCTTTGTTTTGGGCAGCATGAAGTCTGTCTCCTAAATCCAGCACAGAGCCTGACAGCAGGCGAACACCAGCAGAGCGGAGCTGAACGTGTCCAGTGATGGACTGATGATGTCAGTGTGGTGAATTATGGGCCATCATGACCTGCAGCCAGAGTGTAAGGGACGGTGGAAGAGAAACTCCTCAATCATACTGTAATACCGAGCTGCAGTGGTTTGCGGTCTGCACCTTATGGATCACAGAAACCTTTAATTTTGTTTGTTTGGATTTTTTTTTTCTTCTTTTTTTTTTTTTACAATTGTAGCCCAGTATATCTACAATAAAGTAATGGTATGGTCATTCACCTTGTGGTCATGTTGTTTATTGAGTGTAACCATTGGATGAAGCCTGAGTGACATCAGTCTTCTGTTCCTGCAGGGGGCGCAGGGGGCTCATTGGCAGCAGCCGCCATGTTGGAAATCCTGTCTCAGCCTAACTTTCAGTCAACCTAACGACAGGCTGAGAGCTGGTGCTGAGGCGGGGTTTAAGCCTCTTGTCATACCGCTACATCACGCCCACATGTCAGCTACGCGCCTAAGTATGGATAGCATGTATCGTTAATCAAATCAAAACGGATGCGATATTTAAAAAATCACCCCCAGTACAGTGTGTGTCAATCAAGAGATGAGCTAATTCATGAGAGCAACCCATCCGGGTACTTTGCCCAAACGATGCTGGCCCCGCCCCTTTCTGGGTGAAATCATTCCATCTCAATGAATGGCGGTTGATGGATAAGTTGGGGTCTTTACCAATTTAAAGTCTTAAAAAATGAAAACCGTACTTTGAAACGGCAAGTATGAGTCTAAAGCTGATGACCAGTGATGTAAACATTTAAAATATGAAATGTACCACTTTAATCCTCTCTAGTTTCAGTCCAAACACACGGAGCTCTTCTTTTACCCTCCTTTGTCCTTTGTTAATGAAACCCCGATACTAAATTGTGTTTTTAAAATAGTTTGAAGTAGAAAAAGCTTCGCAATCGCGTTTAATCGCGTTTAATCGCACGGCTACCAGTGTTTTCTAATCTACCGCCGATACATT